TAATTTGGTTGGCTAAACAAGTCAAAAGTGAGCCAAACTTCTATATTCACAATTTGCGACAGTGACCCCATTGGTCAAGTCAAACTTTGCGAGGAAAAGAAGCTAGTCCTATAAAGATATATGGGATGGTTTTCTCTATAATATATACATTGCATGTTCGATTGCTTTGAATGGTGGAATACTCAAGTAAAAGTGAATTTAAGCAAGCTTAAGCCACATGTCCTTCCAATTTTTTCACATTCCAAATTGATGAAACTGCACTTCTATATAGCTTTTAGCAGCAAATAAAAAATGAATAGTGTGATTTTATATTTCAAAACCAGAGAAAATGTAAAACTCTAACACAAACGGATTATGAAAAAAAAAAAAAAGACTTTCTTCCCAGGAAAAACATATGATTAATGCACAAATGTACAACGTTGCTGTATAATAGAGGTTCTAGTCTATGTATATACAAGAGAGACAATATAACAATTATTATCATCATCATACATAAATGACAACATTTATATTCTGACTTGGTAAAAAGAATAAAATTAAGAACAGACCAGATCTCAGGTTTATCAGCTGACACTTAGATCAAGTGGCAGCTTGAACCTTGAAAGGGTCAAAGTTAGAGCAAATTATTCTGTGCGGATACTAGATGGGAGAACCGTCCGGTACCGCTTGGTACCGAGCGGTACCGATGCTCGTTACCACTCGGTACGGCGCTCGGTACATTTGATCGGTACACTTTTGGGGTGACATGGCGCATTTTTATTGACCTCTGGATGACGTCCGGACTCCGCACAGAATAATTTGCCCAAAGTTAAGACCTGAAATTGAAAAGCGCCGTCCTGGCCGGGTGATGTAGGCAAAGGGGGGGTAAAATCAAACCCAAAAAATTTTGGTTTTGACTTCCCTTGAGCTTGCTAGCTCAATAAATTTTGAGCTGAAATTTAGCTCATGAGCCGGTTTTTAGTTCATTTATTGAACTAAAAGTTAGCTCATTATTAGCTATGTTTTAGTTCGTTTATTTTCCTATTTATGTAACTCTTTATTTATAGTTTTGTCTCTTAAAATTTTGAGTTTTGTCCCTTGGGTTTCCAAGAATGGCTTTTGGGTTTCCTGTGTTGGGCTATTTTCCGTGCCTTGGCTCCTTGGTTTCCCTGGTTAGCTGCTGGTTTTCCGTGCTGGGTGGCCTTTCCCGTGCCTTGGTGCTTCGTTTTCGTGCGGGCCTCCTTGGCTTTTGCGGCTGCCTCTTCGGATTCCGCCTGGGCTGTTTTCCCGTGGCTGATGAGGGGCTTTTCCATGGTTTTGGTGCTTCGTTTCCTGGAGTTGACTGTTGGCTTTTCATTTCCCTTATTTAATATAGAATATTAAAGGGTTTTAGGAGCTGTTTGTATTCCTCCCTTGTCTATATATAGAAGATGTTTTGTGGCTGTTTTAGTAATGAAAAAAGAGAATTTTTGGAAAGAAATCTTAGTGATTTTCTTGGAAGAGTTTCTTCTTCTTCTTCTATCTCTTGGGGAAACTTGCGAGTTCTTTCCACCCTTCTTCTCAGCTTCTAATCTCTTTCGTCTCTTCGCAAGTATCCTTCCATCTGTATCCTTCGTCTCTTGGAAAGCAAGTTTAGGTGTTTTAGTTGTGTCGTTTGTAAGAGTTGTAAGGCGTCTTGTTTGAGTCGCTTGAGTCAAAATTTGTGTCTTTTTAAATGAAATGTAAGAGTTTGTTCTTCTTATTACTTAGCTAAGTGTGTCTTTTGGTGATCGAAAATTTTGGGGCCCTTCTCCCATATTTTTGATTGCATCATTTTTTGGTATCAGAGCAAGTTAGGAAGTCCTAGGTTTTAAGTTGGTTTGTCAAGTCAAGTCTTGTTGTGTGAGTCTTGTGAGTTGTGTAAGTCTTGTGAGTTGTGTAAGTCTTGTGAGTTGTGTAAGTCTTGTGAGTTGTGTAAGTCTTGTGAGTTGTGTAAGTCTTGTGAGTCTAAGTTTTTTAGGTTGAGTCTTTATTTGAGTCAAGTTTATTGTTGAGTCTTTCTTTTAAAAAATGGAAAAAGACAAAAAGATATATTCATTCATGGATGAAAACAAACCAGACAATCCTGAAGTCCCTCTTCCGATGGACAGATGGATTCCAACTGAATGTGATTCAACCGATCCGCTTCAAGACAGATTATACAAACTTGAATATCACATGTGTGACCAGAAATTCGAGAAATGGAAGACGTATCTAAAAAAGACAGTTCGAGAAAGAGCAAGAAGAAATTTTGAAGGAGTTTGGAGAAAAAATTAAAGAATTGGATGCTCCGTCTTCACCTCCTCGAAAGAAAACAAAAGCTAACTCATCGGGAGATGAGTCCTCAAGAAGGGGAGTCTGATGTAGGCAAGGGAAGGTCAAATCAAACCCAAAAAATTTTGATTTTGACTTCCCTTGAGCTTGCTAGCTCAATAAATTTTGACCTGAAATTTAGCTCATTATGAGCCGGTTTTTAGTTCATTTATTGAACTAAAAGTTAGCTCATTATTAGCTATGTTTTTGTTCATTTATTTTCCTATTTATGTAACTCTTTATTTATAGATTTGTCTCTTAAATTCTGAGTTTTGTCCCTTGGGTTTCCAAGAATGGCTTTTCGGTTTCCTGTGTTGGGCTGTTTTCCGTGGCTTGGCTCCTTGGTTACCCCGATTGGCTGCTGGTTTTCCGTGCTGGGAGAGACGAAGGATACAGATGGAAAGGATACTTGCGGAGAGACGAAAGAGATTAGAAGCCGAGAAGGGTGGAAAGAACTCACGAAGTCTCCCCAAGAGATGTAAGAAAGAAAAGCTCTAAGCTCTTCAAGAAATCACATAAGATTTCTTTTTTCCTAAAAAATTTCTTTTTCCATTAGACTAAAAACATCAAGGCAAAAACATCTTCTATATATAGAAAAGGGAGGAATACAAACAGCCCCAAAACCTTTAATATTCTATATTAAATAAGGGAAATGAAAAGCCAACAGTCAACTCCAGGAAACGAAGCACAAAACCAGCTCGGAAAGCCCCTCATCAGCCAACGGGAAAACAGCCCAGGCGAGAACCCGAAGAGGCAACCGCAAAAGCCAAGGAGGCCCGCACGGAAAACGAGCACCAAGGGCACGGGAAGGCCACCGCAACGGACAGAACCAACTACGGAAACCAAGGAGCCAAGGCACGGAAAATAGCCCAACACAGGAAACCCAAAAGCCATTCTTGGAAACCCAAGGGACAAAACTCAGAATTTTAAGAGACAAAACTATAATAAAGAGTTACATAAGTAGGAAAATAAATGAACTAAACATAGCTAATAATGAGCTAAAACTTTTAGTTCAATAAATAAACTAAAAATCGGCTCATAATGAGCTAATTTTCAGCTCAAAATTTATTGAGCTAGCAAGCTCAAGGGAAATCAAAACCAAATTTTTTTTGGGTTTGATTTGAACCCCCTTTGCCTACATCACCCGGCCAGGACGGACGTTTTTTCAATCAAGGTCTTGATTTTTGGGCAAATTATTCTGTGCGGAGTCCGAGGCTCGTTCAGAGGTCAATAAAATGCCCATATTGTTCAACACCAATAGTGTATCCGATCAAAGGTACCAGTGCGAGACCGTACCGAGTGTAACGAGATGCATCGGTACGAACGGTTACCCGGGCCGGACGGTTCTCCTCATCAAGTATCGCTACAGAATAATTTGGCCGCTAACTTTTGAACCCTCATAGGTTCAAGCTGCCACTTGATCTAAGTGTCAGCTGATAAACCTGAGATCTGGTCCTTGTTCTTTAATTTTATTCTTTTACCAGCAGAATATAAATGTTGCATTTATGTATGAATGATGATAATAATGTTATATTGTCTCTCTTGTACTTATACATAGACTAGAACCGTCTATTATACAGCAACGTTGTAACATTTGTGCATTAATCATATGTTTTTTCCTGGGAAGAAAGTCTTGTTTTTTTTTTCATAATCCGTTTGTGTTTAAGAGTTTTACATTTTCTGCTGGTTTGAATTAAATACCACTTTCATTTTTATCTGCTAGCTAAATGTATATTAGAAGTGCAGTTTCATCAATTTGGAATGTGAAAAAAATTGCGAGAAGACATGTGGTAAGCTTGCTTAAATTCACTTTACTTGAGTATCCCACTCAGTCAACATGCAATGTATCATGACAAGCAAATTATCTATATAGAGAACAACCATCCCATATCATCTTTAATAGGACTAGCTTCTTTCCTCGCGAAAGTTTGACTTGGACCATATGCGGTCACTGTCGCAAACGAAATTGTGGGAATATAGAAGTTATGTGGCTCACTTTGACTTGTTTAGCCAACAAATTAATCCTAAATATGCAAGTGTGAATCACAAGGTGTACCTTTTTCAG